TCTTTTCTTTTCCTTGAAACACGGTCTCACTGTGCAGTTCAGGCTGACCTTAAACTCACTTTATAGCTCAGGCTAGCCTCGAACTCGCAGTGATCCTTCTGCCTCAGCCTCCCAAGTACTGGGATTACAGGCGTGCGCCACAATGCCCAGCCCTAAATTTTTATTTCTTACATGTTCACCTACAAAGTTTTGTATTAGGTTCTAAGCATCATAATTTCAGATTAGACCAGAGGAACATAATACTTGTCGCCATTTCATGTAAAGAATGGTTCACATTGTCTCACATCTCTGCATGTACCTGGGAGCACTTGATGAATACTGATACATCTGGGCTTTACCCTCAGAAATTCTACTTATCTAGGGTAGGACCCTGGAAGTATTAGGGTTTTTGCTTTTAAGCTTCCCAGGTGATTCTGATGGGTAACCAGGTATGTGAACACATTGGCTAAGGGAAAGGGGACATTTAACTAGAAAAAGATTGAACTCAGTTCTACAAGAATCATGGGGAGAAATTTGATATATTCTGGGGTAAGGTCTATTTTTGAAGAGCTTTCTTGGTTACCTGGATGTGCAGTCAGGTGTCGGACAGTGGACAGCGTTTCTCACTTATAACCGTGCAGAAGTCACTAGGGCGTTGTTTTAAAATAGGGGTTCTGCTTTGGTAGGGCTGGGGAGGAGCCTGGGAAGTCTGTGTTTCTCCCAGGCCCCCTGGTGGTGCTCTTGCTGCTGCTCCAGGAACTGCATTTTGAGCAGTAGACGGTCACGTAGTGTAGAATATGGTAAATGGGACTAAAGCATGGAATGCAGTGGAGGAGGAGGTTTACACTACAGGGCATGCTGATAATTTTAGTGAAGTCATTTAAAACTCAGAGATACATTCATTGAGGTGCAGAAGGAACATGGCCTTGGGGGATAGATCTGCATCTCGAATTCATGGTTTACTATCTGGGTGACCCTGAACAAGTATTTCATCGGATTTTTAGTCTCAGTTTCCAAGCAGCAATATGGATACGGTAACGTCTTCCTGGTAGATGAGCAACAGAGAAAATGTGTTTAAAGGACATAGTGCAGCTTTTGTGACAGAGTGTTTGCAGGAAAGCAGCGACTTACCATTTATGCTGCGCAATCCTGAGAGCTGTGATTAATGTGCATGGAAAGCACCATTAGGAATCTCTAATCAGCTTTGCATCACAGACAGTTTACCTCTGTTCTACAGCCAGGGGAAGGCTTTGCCTACTTCAGTAGAAATTATCTTGTCCTAATGAGAAGTACTTGGGCTCGCCTGCTCCTGCATGGTTAACTTTTGCATTATCTTAGGTCTTGGCTTCATGAGATGTGACAAATGATTCACTGATTCACAAATATTCACAAATAGTTTTTGAGCCCCTGTTACTCTAAGAGTCCAAGCGTTCTAGCTACTGTGACTCCCAGCATGCAGCATTTTTCAGACCTTAGCGCTTTTGAGTTTGCTATCCTCTTTGCTTCCTCTGCTCCTTTAGGAATCCCCCTGAAGCTTGTCTTTGGGTTGGGTTCATACTTTCATCACACCTGTACACCCCATCGCTTCTTGCTACAGTCTGCGAGCTTTTCTCCTTCTCTTCCCTTTTTTTTCTGCAAGCCTCCTGCAGCCACGGGGGCTCTTTGTACAGCCGTGGGGCTGGCACGCAAGTTTGTGTAACTGGATGCCTTGCCACATAGTCCTTTTAGGGAAGTCTGAGGTAGGTGGGAGGGTTAGAGAGGGCTTTCTCTAAACGACAATGCTTGGGCTGAGGCTTTCGAAGAGAAAGCAGGTAGGGGCAGGGGAGTGGCTGGGTCCTTCCGGGACACGGCGGGCTGTGTGGAGGATGAGTGGGTGAAGCTGGAGAAGAGGCAAGGGCTGCATGTGGCAGACTTAAATGGTGGTGAGGAAGTTGGATTTTATTTTGAGTGCAGTGTGAGACCAGTGATGGGTTTTAGGCAGGAATGTGTGGAGGGTGAATGGAGGGGGAATTAGATACAGGCAGATTGCTTAGGATATTCAGGATATGGTGGAATTGAAAAATATGCGGTGCATTTAAATAAAATAATTACAGTTAAAGACACATCACTGTCCCTCACACACACACCCCAGCGCTCTTGCCGCTTTCCAAAGCAGGTCTGTAAGTCCTGTGTGACTATCTTTAGTTGTGCTGTTGTGGCTACTTCAGTGTCCTGAATCAATTCAAAACACTTACCTTACACGATTATTTTGACCTGGGGTAGAGCCAGAAGTCAGACAGATCTGGTGAATAATGTGAATGAGGACACACCTCAGTGTTCTTACAAGCCTGCTTTTACATTGCGTCTCACACAGCAGGGTTATTCAGCACATTTTTAATCACACTTCATAATGACACTAACGAGGACTTCCAGAACTGCTTCAGAAAGTGGCAAGAGCAAGGTGTGGTGACACATACCTATAACCCCAGCGCTCAGGAGGCTGAGACAGAAGGATCACCATGAGTTTGAGGCCAGCCTGGGCTACATAGTGAATTTAAGGCCAGCATAGACTACACGTAGTGAAACCCTGTCCCCCAAAAAGCAAAACAAACACAAAAGTGGCAAGAATAATGGGATAATGTATAAATGTGGTAAATCTTCAAAGGCAAGGGGAATATGGGGCGGGTAATGGCAGTGTGTCTTTTACTGTAATGAAGGTTTTAACTTTCAACTTCCACCACATTTTTCAGTCATCCCTGATAATTTATTTTTATTTATTTTGCATGTGGTAGTGGGGATTGAACTCACACTCTGCACAGTGAGCTAAATCACCAGCCCTTTTTGTTTTTTATTTTGAGACAGAATCTCACTAAATTGCTAAGTTGACCAGGCTGAGCTTCATCATGCAGTCCTCCAAGAATGTTGAGCTTATAGGCAGAACTGTTACTTTTAATGCCTTTTCTGGTCTTAATTCCTTTTCCTCAGACAAGAGTGGTTCAGTCCAGAGCACCCTTTGCCTGGTCTGCTTCAGGCAGTGCTTTGGCTATAAGGTGGGCGTAGACCTTGGAGCCTTACACAGCTTAGATTGCCCTTAGCAGTAGGCACCTGGCCCATGTTAGGCAGAAGATGCGGCCATGTCTGTTCTAGCAGTGAGCTGGATAGCAGGAGGCCCTTGGCAAATGCTTGCACAACATTTACTGGGTTTTAATAACATGTCCGCTATGTTCTAGCTATCGGAACAGTGGAGAGGTTACATAACCTCTCCAAACTTCATCCATAAAGTGGAGATAATACTCTCTACTGCTTTTTTTGAGAATTGAATTGAATGATGGTGGTGATGACAGTAGTGTTGACCATTTGGTAAACATCACTTGCAGCCAGGTGTGGTGGTACTTGCCTGTAATCCCAGCACTTGGGAGGCTGAGGCAGGAGGATCGTTGGGAGTTTGAGACCAGCCTGAGCTACAAAGTGAGCTCAAGGCCAGCCTGAACTGCCTTGTGAGACCCTGGCTCAAAAAGACCAAAAAAAAAAAAAAAAAAAAAAATGTGTCAGGTCCTGTGACAGGTATATTCATTTACTTGTTAAACATGTAAAAAACAACAAAAATAGTGTTTAGTTCATGGTAGGTACTCAGTAACGTTAGACCTCCCCACTCTCCTGACTATCGCATTTCCTATCTTTTGTCAGTAGCCAATAGATTATTGCCTTAGCACAAAAAAATGATTTTATTTACATGCATAAATTGACAGAATGAAAGTAATGAAGATTTAATTTAAGCTCAGGAAGCAGCCACCGTGTAATTTACCGGGAAATAATTCAACATCATTTCATTAAGCAAGTACTTAGGATTTAGAAATCAACTGTATGTCAACCAAATTATAATTTAATACAATTAGCCTTTGAATTTAATTTTTAAGTTAGGGTCTCGGGCTGCTATAGAAACCACACACAGCTGTTGTCTGGACCAGGGCGTTGTTCATGTGCTACTTAGAAATTAGTGCCCATTTTCTGACCAAGTCCTCAGAATAAAACATCCGAGAACAGGTTCTGTTCAGTGGACAGCATGGGATATGTAAGGCTGTTCCAGGGTTGGGATGAGTTACATGTCTGCGTAGATGCCTGACGGTTCTCTGATAAAACAGGACCCTAACTTCGTCTGAAGTAACAGTCTGCAGTGACTCTGCTCACCTTACCTTTCCTTTTTCCTTCTTTGTGTCGGTTTTAGGTAACCGGATCTTCTTTGACAACATAAAGCAGGGATTAAAACTAACTCTGCAGCAATCCTAGGATTATGGTTTTAGGAGAGTAAATCTTGGGTTGACCGTGAGATGGTTTTATATAAATCTCATTCTGAAGAAAGCAGCTATGCGAGAGCTCTGAGCTTGGGTTATTGTTTATCTCTGGCTCGGCAAGATCGTTTGTATGAGTATCACAGTCTGTTGTACGTACAGCACCCTGAGAGGTTGTTACTGAAAAGCTTGGTGAGCTGCTGGCAACAGTGGTTACACCTGAAAACTGGCTGGGGTCCTGGGGCTACCCGTCATCTCTGTCGATAGAGCAAAGCTCGAGAAAAGCAGAAGTCGCAGTCGGTGAAACACTCACCTCCTTATCTTTGTCTACAGTGCCACCGAGTCAGAGCTTATATGATCCCCAGAGACTAGTATAAAACCGGAGAATTTTAGGGCATGCTCTGGGTCTGACCCTGATGCTTTTTTTTTTTTTCTTCTTTCCTTAAAACCTCCTCACCAGGCATGATGGCACACATCTGTAATCCCAGCACTCGGGAGGCTGAGGCAGGAGGCTCACTGTAAATTTGAGACCAGCCTAGGCTACAAAGTGAGCTCAAGGCCAGCCTGAACTGTATAGTGAGACCCTGTCTCAAAAAGACCAAAAATAAAACTCAATTTAAAAAAAAAAAACACCTTCTCTTTCTGGATGTAGGTTGTCCTCCATACTCTAATCTCTCATGCTGCCTTAGAGGTATAAGATAAAAAGTGAAAGTAATACACCACTTGTCTTTATTTTCTCCTTTTATTTTCCAGCAACAGCTGCAGGCCTATGTGGCCTGGGTGAATGCACAGCTGAAGAAGAGGCCATCGGTGAAGCCTGTACAGGACCTGCGACAGGATCTCCGGGATGGGGTGATCCTGGCATATCTCATCGAGATTGTTGGTCAGTTGGTCCTGGACTCTGATGCTACTGTAGACCAGAATGTGATCACTGCTATCCTCTATATGCCCTTCAAAGCAGGTTGTTTCTTTTTTAGACTATCTGGCAATGGAAGCAGAGAAGACTTAAAATACTTGCTCAAGCTGGACATGGTGGGATATGCCTGTAATCCCAGCACTCTGGGAGGCTGAGGCAGGAGGATTGCAAGTTCAAGTCTAGTCTGAGCAATTTAGTGACTTAGCAAGATCCTGTCTCAAAATAAAAAATAAAAGGGAAGCTGGGATATAGCTCGGTGTGAAGGCCCTGGATTCAATCCCCAGGACTATAAAATAAAACAAAACCAAAATTTGCTCAGCGTTCATCTGTTTATTTATTGCTTACTAAACACTGGGTGGCAGGTACTATATTGTTTAAGAATATGATAGGCACAGTTTATGTTCTCAGGAGCCCCAGTCTTAAGTGGAAAGACTGGAGAGTAAAGTCAATTCCATTACATACTTAGAACTTCAGTAGGATGGATGCAGAGAGGAGTACATGGAAGGGACACTCTGTCCAGGGTTAGGGTTCAGGGACGGCTCCCTGGAAGCACTGATGTCTAAACTGAAGCCTGCCAAAAGAAATGACGTCACGCGGAAGCCCACCAGGAGACCTGATGTCTAAACCAAAACCAGGAAAGGAAGCAGTAGCCAAGCAGAAAAGGACCCCTTTACGTTTGTTATCAGCACAAAGACCCCTCTAGGATACTACTATTTGTTTCATGCAAGGATTTTTCCCTTGTGAAACCCTGGAGCCATTCTTACTAGATAGTGTCATACCTTATTTCCATAGCATGTGTCCATCGTTCTGTTGCTATTTTTTTCACTGAGTGGTAGTCATAATCATTTGTTTACTTACCTATGGCTTCCCTAGAGGCAGAGTTTTTTAAGTGTGTGTTCAGTACAATTCTTTTTGTTCCCACAATCCCTAACCAGGTGCACATTACAGGCACTGAAAACTTTATTAGTCAGCTGGTTTTGCTTTAGACTCCTTGAGGGACGTGGGGGTACAGGAAGTACAGAAGAAGCAAGCTTTGCACTTTGCCTAGCCTTGAGCCCCTTGTAAGGACAGCTGTTGAGTTCATCAGAGCTTGCGTTTGTAGTGATGATGACAGTGTCCACAGATGCCAGCATTGAACACTTTCTACTTGGTTTAATTTCATTTAATCATCACACCCTTGGCAAACAGATACTATTGTCTCCACTTTCAGGAAACAAGTTTAAAAGAAGATTTGTACAAATAAATAAATTTATTGAGTAAATAGTAGTACATAGTGTCAAGCAAAGAAGTTAAGCACACAGAGCCAGGCATGGTGGTGGCGCACACCTGTAATCCCAGCACTTGGGAGGCTGAGGCAGGAGGATCATTGCGAGTTTTAGACCAGTTCAGGCTACAAAGTCAGTTCAAGGCCAGCCTGAACTGCAGAGCGAGACCTTGTCTCAAAAAGAAAAAAGAAAGAAAGAAAAAGTTAAGCACACTATTTTGATTTATTTTTGGTGTGGGTAAGCACAAAGATTGGGTATCCCTTATGCCAAATGTTGCTAGAAATGTGTGAAACTTTTGGATTTTGGAATATTTGAAGAGAGCGTTGCTAACCTGAAAATCTGAAATCTTCTGATTAGTAATGCTCAACCTGCACTGCAGTTTTGCTCATGGTATGAAGTCTAGAGAGATTAAGCAACTTTACAAGGTTGCACAACTGTAATTGCTAAAGTAGAAGTATAAACCTAGACTGGCTTTAATTCCAAAGTCCATTTTAAACACTTAATTTTTCACCTATTTAAATAAGTTATACACGGAGCCTGTTTTTCTGGTAGGAAATCCTAAAGGATATGAAGTTAAAAGCCTTTTTTCCACCTGTACCTCCCCACCGGCTACTGATTCTCCTTTCTGGAGGCAGCTAGTATTAGCAGTTCTTCCTAGACATGCTTGGAAATGTACATCTAGAAACAATATGAATCTATGTTCTTATTTTCCCAAAACCCAGATTTTCAAACAGTTTGTTCATTCTCTCTTTCTCTCCACTGTTCTTTCTCTCTCAAGCTACCTCCCCAGCCCTTGGCAGCCAGTCTTTCTCTCTGTCTTTCAAGGTGCTGGGGGTTGAACCCAGGACCAGGTGTGTATTGGACAAGTGCTCTACCATTGAGCCACATGCCCAGCCCTTAAACACGATTTTAAATTAGGAATTTGCAATATAAAAATAACTTCAAGGTCTCTACCCAAATTTGTATGTTTAGTCGTTAACTTTTCCTTGAGTTCTAGACATGAATATCTGATTTCCTAGTCAGAATCTCTACTTGGGTATCTAATATGCAGTGCTAATTTCACATGTCCCCATCAGAACTTTTTTTTTTTTTTTTTTTGTCTTTTTTTGGGTCTTTTTGAGACAGGGTCTCACTATGCAGTTCAGGCTGACCTTGAGCTCACTTTGTAGTCCAAGCTGGCCTTGAACTTGCAATGATCCTCCTGCCTCAGCCTCCTGAGTGCTGGGATTACAGGTGTGTGCCACCATGCCTAGCTGTCAGAACTTTTGATTTCCTTCCTCACGCTAATGCCTCATCCTCCGGGTTTCTTCATCTGAGGAATGTTTTACATTATCATCTGCTCAGCCACTAAAACAGGACACTTAGATGTCATTTTCTCTTCTAACACTGGCTGGCCATCGAAGCTAGCGCCTCACAAATATTAGGCAAGTACTTTCTTCTTTTTTTTTTGAGACAGGGTCTCACTGTGTAGTTCAGGCTGGCCTTGAGTCACTATGTAGCCCTGGCTGACCTCGAACTTGTGGTAATCCTCCTGCCTCAGCCTTCTGAGTGCTGAGATTACAGGTGTGCGCTACCGCACCTGGGTAGGCAAGCTACCTCCCCAACCCTTAGAAGTTGTTCTTAATTCTTTTCTTTTCCTTTTGTATCCTATCTAATCCTTTGCATGTACTGTGTGGGTTACATTGAGATCACAATCAGTATCTGACTTCTCACCAGTCATCCTCTTCTACTTTAACCCAAACCATCGTTACCTCTTGCCTTGACTATTTTCATCGTCTTCCTCTTTCTTCTCTCGCATAATCTACATCCACACAGAGTCAACCTTGAGAAACAAACTGAAGAACGCTAATCCTTTGCCTGAAACTTGCCTCCTCGTTGCACTTAGACTTCAAGTAGTTCATTGCGGCTCACTTGCCTGCCTGCCTCTCCGGCCTCTGCCCGGCCTCACCTCCTCGCCCACTCACCCAGCTACACTGCCGCTGTTGCTCTTCCTCACGTACACTGAGCTCACGCCCAACGTTGGGTCTGTACTGTGGTTCCCCAGGCTGGAATGGTTCCCCTTGAAATCTTAACATTTCCTGTTTTATTCAGCTCTGCACAGATACATTCCCAGAGAGGCCGTGGTCACTCCTTTCCGCTTTCCCTTGTGCTTACCGTTACCTGAGGCGGAACACTGGCTTGTCAGCGTGGTTGTTTTCTGCTGTGCACAGCTGTAAGCTCTGAGGGAGCAGATGCTACCTGCTCGGTATGCTCTGGTGCCCGTCATGACGCCTGACACACAGTGGGATGTTTGCTGAAGTGTGCACACGATAACTCCCCAGGACCGAGGTCATGAAAAGACCCTCCACAAGGCTTCTCATTTTCCTCTTCCCCGTCCAAATTACAAACAGCAGGACTTATCTCACTTGTATATTTAGGGATAATTTTAGTTTTCATATCAAAACTCCCTTCCTGTGTTTTTGTATTGGCTGCCGTGACATGTTGAAAATATTCCTCCCTGTAATATATTTTCTCTATCTTCACAGCAGGAGAAAAGCTGAGTGGGGTACAGCTGAGTCCTAGTAACCAACAAGAGATGAGGAATAATGTGGAGAAAGTGCTACAGTTTGTGGCCTCCAAAAAGATTCGTATGCACCAGACTTCAGCTAAAGGTCAGCCTCTCGCACCCTTTTTTTGTTTGTTCTGTTTTATCATTTTGAGACAGGGTCTCACTATGCAGTTCAGGCTGGCGTTGAGCTCATTTTGTAGCCCAGGCTGGCCTCAAATTTGCAATGATCCTCCTGCCTCAGCCTCTCAAGTGCTGGGATTACAGGAGTGTGCCACCACGCCCTGCTCCTCTCACATCCTTGGTTGATGAATTTGTTCAGCCTCACTGGTCTTTACCGTGTCAGAAATGCCAGTGGTTATGTAGCCAAGGGCTCTGAGCAGAGTGGAGTAGGATCAGGCCCATGACCTTGTATCATTTTCCCAGTTTTTTTCTGTTGGGATGGAGTGATTATCAAAATCTGAGTGCTTTGGAAATCCAGATGGAGATAGAAGTTCTCCATGCATTTTAATTGAATACAGATGTACTTGAGTGTGTGTGGGAAAATTAATGATAAGAGAAGAAATGACAAAATTGGGATATTAATTTTACAGTGTCTCATTTAAGTTATCAAAAATGAAGACAGATTACATTTTTTCAAGTTCCTTGAGTTAAATGACTAAGTATTATTTCAAATTGGCATAACCTATGCTTTTTTCATCCAGTTTTCTAGAAGGAAGATTTTACAGCTTTTCTCTTTTTGGTATCAGAACAGTCCAAGCAGGACGAAAAGGGCTCCATAACTGCTGCATATCCTGTCTTTAGTGGTGGCATGAACCAGGCAGATTTGCCAGGCTCCGAGGCAGGAGCAGTAGAGGTGTCCTGGGAAGGCGTAGGCTCCCTTGTCCTCTGACTGCTTCTCTAGAACTGCCTAGATCTGGTTCTGTCTTCGGGTTCTGGGTCTTATTGCATGCGGGTCTGCTGCGAATGAGAGCAAAAAGGACTCTCCTTTCAGGTGGGATCATTGTGTTCCCTGTGCTGGATCATTTGGGTGGGCCAGTACTCACTGTGGAGAGCATCTGGTAAAACGCATCAAATAACTCTTCTCCACGCTTTGCATATCTGAGAGATTTTGAAGCCAAACAAAGAGAATTTGGGGGCTGGGGATTTAGCTCAGCGCCTACCTGGCAAGCGCAAGGTCATGAGTTCGATTCCTGGTATCAGAAGAAAAAAAAAAAAGAGACAGAATTTTACCCATCTCTTTTCATTTATATTCACCAGATCTATCACATTTTTTTTTGGTCTGCTTTCTTTTTTTGTCCTAGGGCAGAATTTAGAATGACAGATGTCTTTGTTCTGGTCCCCATGTGGAGTGAGCTTAGGGATCTGGCCCAGTAAAGTCAGCTATTTGGAGGGAACAGTGCCATTCGGGGCATCGTTTTCTTCTACGTGGAGAAATGCAAGTTTCCTAATTAATCCTGCTGCAGTGAGTTTTGTCCCTCCTTTTTGCTTTGCACACTGCAGCCAGCATGAGGTAAGAGTACACATGCTTGTGCTGCTCTGCAAGTGAAGGCCCATAGCATGAACTCCAGGGCGTTCCTGTGGCTCCCCCACCTAAATGACCCACCTTTGATTCCTACCCCGGCAGCCTCATCTTTCCTTCTCCCCTGGACCTGGTGCTCTGGCTATGCTGACTTTCTTTTAGTTTCTCCACCACGGATGTACAGTGTGCCTGACACAGGTAACTTAAAAGTCTGTAATAGCCATGTTACAAAAAAGCAACAGACGAAATTAATTTTAATAATATTCTAACAATATATCCAGAATAATACTTCATGATAGCAATATAAAGTTATTGAGTATTCTGTGTTCTAGGCTGTCTGATGAGATATTTTGCATCCCTCTGTGTGTGTTAAGTACTAATCTGTAGCACAGTGTGCAGGACAGTGACATTTTATTTTATTTTTAAATTTTTTGTCTTTTTTTTTTTTTTTTAAGACACGGTCTCGCTATGCAGTTCAGGCTGGCCTTGAGCTCACTTTGTAGCCCAGGCTGGTCTTGAACTCACATCAATCTTCCTGCCTCAGCCTCCTGAGTGCTGGGATTACAGGCGTGTGCCACCATGCCTGGCAGGACAGTAACGTTTTAAGTGCTCCACAGCCCCGTGTCATGGCTCTCACATGGGACAGGGTAGCTCTCGTATGTCAGGCTTTCTTATCTCTAGACCTTCAAACCTACTGTTCATTTTCCCCTTCTCTCCGCATATCTAATGAGCCACTATTCATCCATCTGGTGTCAGCTGAAAACTTGCTTCCTTTAGGAATATTTCCCCGGTCCCGTAAGACATCTCTGTGCTGAGCTCCCAAAGACTTTGTAGTTCTCTTGTCTAAACAGCGTCGCACTTTATTATACTTGCTTTAAAAAAATCTCCCGTCTCCCTCCTTGAACGTACCTGTGTGAGGACAGAGACCCTGACTGCCTTGCTTGCCCGTCTCGCCAGCAACGCATACCAACGCACGCGTCCTCAGCCTCTGCTTTTCTCTCAGGACTGCTGTTCTCTTCTCTCCTTCAGATATTGTGGAGGGAAACCTAAAGTCTGTCATGAGGCTGGTGCTGGCCTTGGCAGCTCATTTCAAACCCGCTTCTAGCGGGACGGCGAGCCAAGCACAGGCCTCCAGACCCCTGCTGCAGAGTCACCAGCCGCACTGCGCCACTGCGGTGGCCCAGGGAGCAGCTGCTGCTCTGGCTGACGTGTGTCATGACGTGTCACGCTCCGGGCGGGATATTTTCCGATACAGACAGAGGTAAGGGTAAAAACCTGGGGATGGGAGCCGATCTCTCTCTTTGGTATTTTCTTTGTTTCTGGTGCTGGGAATCGAACTCAGGACCTTACACTTGCCAGGCAGGCACTTGTGCCACTGAGCTATATCCCCGGCCCCTCTTTGGTACTTTCTGATACCATGCAGTAGATAACAATACCACCCAAACAGCCCCATGTTGTGGGAAAGAACACGGAATGGAGGCTGGGGAGGGCTTATTCTGCAGTAACAGAATGTAAAAGAACCATAAGTGAAAGCTATTTCTTTTTTTCCTGCCCCAGTTTGCACGCGCGCATGTGTGTGTTTGAGACAGCATCTCACTATTTAGTTCAGGCTGGCCTTAAACTCACTAGCCCAGGCTAGCCTCAAACTTGCAGTGATCCTCCTGCTTCAGCCTCCCGAGTGCTGGGATTGCAGACATGCCCCACCATGCCTGACTCAAATTTCAAATGCATATCTTTGGCAGCGTGTGCTTGCTTCGGGGGAGCCCCTACCCTGAAATCCAGAAGGCCCAGCTGTTCTGGGGGGTCATGGCAAGAAGTGCTTTGGGGTTGTGTATCCGCTGAGGAACAGTGTCACCCCAAGGTGTTACAGGGATGAGCAAAACGTTTTTGTGTCTTCCTTCTGTACCAGGTTTCAAGTGTCTCTGAAGCAGGTTTTGCCTTACTTCTTACCTACAATGTCCGTAGAATTGGCAGTACCTCAGTAGTAGTAGAGCTGGCTAAACCGCAGCACTGACACCCTCTCTACTTTGCTGGTGCCCCTGGCTGTAGGAACAGCAGCATGGACGAGGAGATTGAGAATCCGTACTGGAGTGTGCGGGCGCTGGTGCAGCAGTATGAAGAGCAGCAGCGGTCCCCGTGCGAGTCCAGCTGCTCCAGGTAACTGCGGCCTCAGATTCTTTACCACCAGAATCCTGGCTGAAAGCTGAGGTTCTCGGGGGAGTCCGGGGGGAGTCTCGGGGTTCACCACTTCAAGTAGCAACACAAAAAGACATAAGGCACCTACCTCATTTTCTTCCGGTCATTTGATGCTTGACTTTAAAGAGCTAGTGCTAGGCAGTATCCCAGGCTTTGCGTTTACAGGGTGGGGTAGGGCGTTGGTGAATTTTGCTTATGGGAAAACTGTGCAGAGCCGCAGTGTGACCACATGGGGGCATGAGTCGGACCTGTCAGAGCCCAGCCCTCATGCAGCTGCCGGTGTTTATGACAGCCAGCGCCCTTGCACTGTCTTAGGGCCCCAGTGTAACTCTTTTAAGTTATGGCCCAAGAAGGCTGTGTAAAGCTCACAGCAGGAGAGAAGCTTGAGCAGAGCTGACTGAAGAGTTAGTGTTCCCGATGTGCATTTGTAGGCCTGGGAATTATGGTAGTTACCATGCCCTGGAGTGAGCAAATGCCGTCCGTGACCTTAGCAGAGGCTGTTTTCCTTACAGCCAAGTGCAGAGACCAGAACAGGACACGGTGTGCTAATAAAAGCCCGACCAATGCCAAGTTAGAGTGGCAGAAAAAGAGGATTTTCCTGGCTGGTATAAATCATGCTCCTGTAAACACATCCCTAGATCACATTAGCTTATTCACTAACTTGATTTTGTGGAGGAATCATAATTAATTTATGCTCTGATGACCTTTTCTTTCCGACTCGAACCTAGGATAATGTGCTCTGTTTAAGCCTAATTACCCCTCATGGGTATTTCATATGTTTTTGCTTCCGTCCTTCTTTTCTTTTTAAAAATTACTTAATTTGCAGAGCTGGGGGTTGAACCATGCGTGCGAGGCAAGTGTACTACCACTCTACGTCCCCAGCCCATCCTGCTCCTATTTCTTTTCCTCATAAAAATCCCACTTATTTTGATGGACCATTTCCTACTTTATTGAGGTCATGTGGCATTCTTTCCAGCATTTTAATATACTGGGAACCTTGTTCAACTTTAAAATTTTACATTTAATAGTTGTGCCTTTCTATTTGTAAAGCACATATAACAGAAAATTAACCATTAAACATTTTAAAGTGTTTAATTCAGTGTCATTGAGTGCCTTCATAATGTGCAGCCATTACTTCTGTCCAGTTAGGAGACATCTTCATCATCCCCAAAGGAAACCCATACCCATTAAAAGCCATTGGTGAGCTTTTCATGGGAACTTAAACCGTTGCTCCTTTTCTTGCTGTTTGGACTATCACTGGCTACAGAATCAACATGCTCCCTTCCATAATGAGATCTCTTGCGCTCTACTCTCCCGAGCCTAACAGTGCCTGCCTGAGTCCCGGAGACAGGGAGGGAAAAGGCTGTGGCTTCCTCCCTCTGGGTAGGAAGCTTCAGGCAGGGCTGGAAGTCTGAGACTGAACCAGGGACCCACTGGAGATCAGGGTGCCGCGGGCTACTGGTCACTGTTTTCTAGAGGAGACAGAGGAGAATAGTTCGCTTCCACCATTCCGGTTTCCTCTCCGTTCTGCTTCGGCCACTTTCTTCAAATACCAGCCCTTTGGGGTGTTCAGTCAGCACTCTGCGTTTCCTCAGTGAGCCCGAGCGAAGGGAAGGAGAGGGCTCTCTCCGCTACCTAGGGACCCAGCAAGCTGGGTGCCCCCATCCCTGCACCTCCACACCCCACCCCCGCATCCCTGCGGCCTCCGACGTGACCCGGAGACCCCGCGCTGTCGCTGCTGCGGATGGGGAAGGCAGGGCACACAGCCCCTGGCGTCTCCACGCCCTGGCCCTGCTGCTCCGGGGTCGCCCTGGCGAAGCTCTCGCTGCCCGCCTGTTGCTCCGTAAGCCTCTGGCCCGCCTCCCGAAAGATCCTAGCAAAATGCAGGGCGTGGGTGCGGCACGAAACGGCCGAGGGCAAGATGGGAGGTGATGGGCGACCCGCAGGGTCCCTGGGGACATCCTGTCTGCCCCCCCAGCCTCCCCCGCCCGCGGGGATCCGGGCTGCGCGGTGCGCGGCGGGGGTCTGCCCGGACCCGGTGCACGGAGGGAGGGGTCGGAGGGGAGCCGCCACG